ATAATAAAGCTATGTCTAATTCTCCTTTCATTTCTGATTTACTAACTGATTACCTTTGTGATTATGTGTATTCTGTTATCTTTGTATAAGTTGGAATAGACTTGCGGGCAGCTAGCAACAGCAGCAACCAGTGCAGACTTGGAGTGGAAACCAACATGTATTAAATAATATTCTGGCTAACTGGATAAATATGGATATAATAACATACTTAGCTCATCTGAACCTCACTAAGGACAATGAGATACTTGAACTTAGAGACTATCAACCAGCGGAAGCAATGGTTTTTTCAGAGATCAAATGATGAACTATTATGCAAAGGTATGAGGGCACGGGAGAGGTTAAATTTTGGGTTTCCATCCAATCACTGCAGTCTGATGCTAGTCTTCAAAGACCATCATGCCCAGTTTCTTGGTAAAATACAACTCTGTTAATTCTGATTCCATTTCCCATTATCTTCCCAAAAAGCCAAGAGGAAATTAAGTTGAATTTGATTACACTACATAAAAATCCAATTTGTGTCTGGGCAGTCATGACCCTATCAAAAGCAAATGCACGTATTGTGCAGGGTCAGGACCTGGGCCGTTGGGCTCTGGAACACAGGTCTGCCCTATTCTTTGGCCTAACAACTTGCAAGCTCAGGAGTGAGTTTAAAAGAACACAAATGCACCTATCATTTCATTATGAACAGAACAAAATATCTTTTGTTTATGTGGAATAAGTGGAAAATTACATCCCTTGAAATGTAAGTACAATTTGTCTCTTCCTTAAAGCAATGTTACTGAAGTCAAGAAATCAGCTTTCTTAAGTTGTACTCAATGACGCTATGTCTGTATGGGTGGAACAAAGTGTACAGATGATCTACTTCAGTTATGCTCAGCCCATTTTGGGTTGTAGATCACTTTGTTAGTGTAATAACCCACCAAACCTAAGCCAAACTCACTGCTTTCAACCCTACAGAGCAGAAGAGAATCGCCACTGTGGGTTTCCCAGACTGTAAATCTTTCTAGGAGCAGAAAACTTTAATTTCTCAGATGTAATGTGTGCTCAAATCACCTGAGGATTTTCTTAACAAGATCAATCAGCCTTAAGTGAGGCTTGAGATTCTGCATACGTCAGGCACACTGCTGTTTTGTTTCTTGGGTCAGCGAGCGCATTTTGAGGAGCAAGGTAATATGAGCAGGCTTCGAGAATCTTGTGAGAGAATTCCATGATCTCTTCATTCCATTTTTCCATGAACATCTTGAAGCCTCCTTGCACAGCACGTGGTCTCTTTCGGCGTATCTGCCACAGGTAGCCAGTTGAATTTATTTCCAGGTGTGAGCTATCCTTGAACAAATCAAGTCCCGACTTTTATTTCATATTGTAAGTACACTGTTAATAAGAATGCAAAGTATGGATTGTCTTTTCATCTCAAGTATGAAAAGGGTTCAGGATGTCCATTTGCAGGCAATTTTAAGGAATGGTGCAGGACCCCAGTTTTTTCTAATCTTCATCTTAGACTTTTGACTATCATGGAGTTAAAGTAGGGAGAAGACACTGATGCTTGGGTCCCCTCCTCAGGGACTCTGACCTTAATTGGGGCGTGGGACTGCAGTCCAGGCTTCAGGACTGTCTACACGATTCTCCTGTGCAGCCAAGGTTCACAAGCGCCACTTGTCCAAGCTAGTATAGGGATGATGCACACACTATCTCTGTAGAGGGTAGGGCACCTGAGAGAGTGAAGAGATAATACAGGCAGGCCCCAGATCACAAACGAATTCCATTTCTAAGTCTGTCTTTCAGCTGAATTCACACATAAGGTATGGATTTTATCTACGCCCTTTAGACAAGTGTTTGTATGTAGAGCGTGCAGTGAACATAACATACGATCCTGATGAAGCAATGATGAACACACCTAATAATACAGTCATAATAATGTTTTGATGGGTGTCACAGAGTGGCCCCTATTTGTGATTACACACCACTGTATGGACCTCAGACTTTTAATAGAGTAGGGTTAGTGGGTGGGTTTGAAGTAAATCTGATATGTATGAACTAGGGGCTGACGGTACAAGGAAAACAATGAAGTGAAGAGATAGTGTTGTGGGGATTCAAGAGAGTGAGACGAACACTCTGTAGAAGGGATCAGTGAAGGTCTAAGGGCTCACTCCAGTCCAAGAAGGGACTGCCTGTACCCCAAACTTCCAACATGGCTTGGTTATGTTCTTCAGGGTCGAGGGCCCTTTCAATGGTATAATTTGTGGGGAAGTTAAGCATAGGTTTACAATACTTTGGGTCAAATGTAAATTCCCAAAGCCAAGCAGCAGAAAAAAAACCCCAAAAAACGTAAGCGAGAAAACAAGTGTGTGCACTGCAGCAACGCTGCCAAGATTCAGTTCCTCCCGCTCCTGCCCCCAGTTGGTACAATCTGGTGTGCGCCGGGGAGGACTCTCCCTCTCGATGCCCCAGTTTGCATGTGATGAAGGTCGGACTCTTGGCCTTGTCACAAGGAAGACATATTGATACAGTTAAAATGCAATTGTTTCTGAGAACCAGAAACCAAAGGCCAGAGACACCTGGTGAACAGTCAGTATCTAGACCATAAGAAAGGAAATCCGAACACCTTTATCAGAGAGGCACCACCCAGTTGGAACAAAAGATTCCAGGTTTTCTTTTGCTCAAAGAATTCTCTGCTGTTTGTGCTCTTCTTTCGGCTGATAGTGGCTTTTCATTACGAAAGCGTATCGGTCTATCTTCTGCCTGCCTCCCAGCTGTTTAAAGTTCCCACTGGTGGCTGCCATTATCTCCCGCCATTCAGCCCTGACACAGACAACCCAGCTTGGGCTGTGCTGCTTCTCTGGCTGCTTCTTCTTTCCTCAGGAAAAGGCTGGGGCAACAAAGGCGGAGCTCTGCTGTCAGGCCATTAGAAGCCCCTGACAATGGAACAGACCTCTCCCCGCCACAAAAGGCCCTTGTGGCCTGTTTTTATCTACAGGCTGGTGAAAGCCTAGGAGTCACTTTGTTTGCCTAGAGTCAAAAGCTTAAGATCATCTCCAGCACAGATTTTCTTTCATTAGAAAAAAGGAAAAGGATCAAAGGAAGAGTATAATCTCCAAATCTCATGTCCCTCCTTCTCTTATGTCACGTCTGTAAAAGGCATTCAGCAAACTGTATGTAATTATTAACCAATGGATTCTTCAGAGTAATTTCCAGCTAGTTGGTTATATTCTTTTTTTTGTAGTTGCATGTATCTGCCTCTCATTCGTCAAGACCAGAAAACAGTATTTTGTTTGTTAGCTGAGGACCTCCAGTGTAAATAAAATTCCAGCATATATTATGCACTTGTATGCTGGGGACCATGTGATCTATGGTAAACATTTATAACACATTCTGATGAGAGGAAGATTTACTGATTGAAGTTGTGGAACAGTCTTGCCAAATAGGCACTGTAAACATTTGCTAACAACTCAAGTTCCACAACATCTAGCTGGTGAGCATATTCTTTTTGTAAACAAGAACACATTTTTAGTGAGTCAGAAGTTTAAATCCTTAAGGCCAGATGGAGTAGTTGTGGGTTCAAGGTGAGGAACCCCAATACCCTTTCTGGGTGTGTTTGTGTGTTTGGGCATGGTTTCATGGTTGTCTATACATGACGTGTGAGCGTATGGTTTCATGGTTGTGTATGGTATGTTATGGTATAGGTGGTTGTATGTGGTGGCATGTGTATGTATCATGTGTATCCTGTAGGTCTATGTTTATCTATCATGTTCATAGTGAAGGGTGTGTGTGTTTGTGGTGTCATGTTTGTGTGTACTGTGTGTGATGTGTGTGCCTATGTGTGTGTTGTGCAGGGTGGTATGTTTGTGTGATGTCTGTGGTATGTGAATGTGACATGGGGTGTGTGTTCGTGGTAACGTTTGTAAAAATGTTTGCATGTGCTTGTCTGTGTGTGGTGATTGGGAAGCTCTGGTTTTGTAGATGGGAGTAATAGATTTTAGGCTATACTAGTAGATTTTAGTTTGCCAATTTCAGGATCCCTGATTTTATATCTACACACATATACATACACATAAAAATGAACCTTGAAAAAAATCAAGTCTTTACCAGAGGACGTACACTGGTACAGATGAGAACTGGAAACACAGGGAATCCAGGACAGATGATCCCTTCAGCACCAGTGGTGTGAGTGGCGATACAGGGAGGGTAGAGGAAGTTGGGGTAGAAAGGGGGAACTGATCACAAGGATCTACATATAACCTCCTCCCTGGGGGAGGGACAACAGAAAAGTGGGTGAAGGGAGATGTCGGTCCGTGTAAGACATGACAAAATAATAATAATTTATAAATTATCAAGGGTTTGTGAAGAAGGGAGGGTGGGGGAGGGAGGGGAAAATGAGCAGCTGATACCAAGGGCTCAAGTAGAAAGCAAATGTTTTGAGAATGATGATGGCAACAAATGTACAAATGTGCTTGACACAATGGATGGATGTATGGATTGTGATAAGAGTCGTACGAGCCCCCAATAAAATGATTTAAAAAAAAAGTCAAAAACCAAAAACCAAACCAAACCAAACTCCAGTCTTTGTTTGATTCAGCAACATTAGACGGCGACAAGGTGCATGGAGCATCTAACAACAGACGAACTGAGGAATGGTATATCTATCTAAAAGCCAAGCATCATTCCTGATATAAATTCAGAAATTATCAGGGAATCGTGTGTGCCAGGATGTTGGATTCGATTCTGGGAGTAGATGTTTCATTCTGAGATACCAACACATGTGTTAAGAGATTTTGGATGGTGGGTGTTGTAATTAAATCTCTACCCTGAGACTCCAAACTCCAGCACTGGTCCCTTCCACACCTATTGTTTAATGAGAATGAGATGAAGTATTGCTCCAATGGAGCAGTCCCTGAAAACTTATTCCACTGTAATTCCCAACTGTGGAAAATAGTCAGATGAACATCTACCTGTTCCTTCCCAAATTGCATTTAAATACAATGTATGAGTTCAGCTATACTTACAGGGACTGGAGGCTTCGCAAATTCTGAAGTGCTTCTGTGGGTACTTGCCTCAGCTGATTATTCTGCAGCATCCTGCACATAACAACAAACAGACAAGGGAACGTGTTAAAGAAAATGATCTACAACCAATCATAACAGCACTAGGTAGGGGGCGAGGTGTTAGGGAAACCAGACAAAGCGCTGGTCCCTGTGGAGCTTACATTCTTTGGAGGGCAACAGATACTTACAAAATTAACAAAAGATATAACAAGAGACAAGTGATAAGGATGATGACTTAAAAAAGCCAAAACAACAGAGGTAATGGGACAGAAAGTAACACAGGATGAGATTGTAACTTAAAACGTGATCAAGGAAGGCTTCTCGAAGGAGGTGATACTTGAGAATAGACTAGCCTGGAGCCCGGAGCTAGCCGGGTGAACAGCTGGGGAAACTACAGAGGAAGAGGGGGGATCGAGGGCAAAGGCCCCCGCAGCTACCATTGCCTGACCTGTTTGTTGCCCCAAACCAAAACCAGCTCACTGCTGTCCAGTTCATTCCCACGGGCTCCTAGCGACCCCAGAGGAGCAAGGAAGAAAGGATGAGGGAAGTCAAGAGGGTGGGAGGGAAAACCAGAAGCCCTTGCATGGAGGGCCTTAGAGGCCAACATAGAGACTTTACGTGTTAAGTGTGGTGATAAAGCTGTGTTGCAGGGTTTAAGCATGAACATGAAGTAATGTTCTTTATATTTTAAAAGGATCACTTTGGTGGTTGTATAGATCAGATAGAATGGAAACCAAGATAACAGTATAAGGTTTTTAAAGATACCCCCTCCTTTTTCATTTATGCCATCTTTTGAGGAAAGTTAAACTGCTTTTGCAGATAATTTATTCTCCTGGGTTGATTTTTTTTTTTTTTTAACATGAGGACTACTGAATGGAAACAGCTGGCAATGATGAAATTAAAATGTATCACTGCTCGTAGGGAAATAGCATGGAAACATGTTCCCATTAGATTCCTTACATTTTGCTACCTTGTTCAGGAATGCTTATAACAGTAATTTTTTAAAAGATCATTTTATTGGGGACTCTTACAGCTCTTAGAACAATCCATACATCAATTGTATCAAGCACAGTTGCACATGTTGCCATCATTATTTTCTAAACGTTTCCTTTCTGTTTATAATGGTAATTTTTCAGCACATTTTCCCCTCCAGTATTTCATGATTCATGTAAGACTGAGGGAGAAGACTATTCAGGAAAGCAGACATTTGGGGGCTTATTATTTCACAAACTTCCAAGTAAGGCTTCTTTTCATTAGGTGCCTGGCTGAGATGTGACCCCAGGTTTGTCTCACGCCAAAGTTTGGTGTAATTTCCACTTCACCATGCAGCCTTGGCTCAGGTATATTTGTTGACAATACTTCAAAGCTCTGCATGAGGTTTTCAGTGGCTTCTTCCTCTGAAATGGGGAGCTGAGTTCTTCTCGTTGTCTGTTCTTAGTCTGGAAGCTCCCCTGAAACCTGTTCACTTGGGGTGACCCTGCTGGTATTTGAAATACCAGTGACCAAGCTAACATCACATCAACACGGAAGCCATCACAGTATGACGAACCGGCAGGCAAGTCATGTTACTTTGAGGACTACCGTGTCCCTGACCCAAGCCGTGGTGTTCTCCATTGCCTTCATCTGCCTGTGAAAGTTCGACATTGAATAAGGAAGACCAAAGAAGTGCTGATATATTTAAATTGTGGTGCTGGAGAAGAACACTGAAGGCACCATGGACTGCTAAAAGGACAAACCAATCTGTGCTGGAAGAAGTAAGGCCAGAGTGCTTCTTAGCGGCAAGGATGGCAAGACTTCATCTTACATAAGTCGAACCTATTGTCAGGAGAGACATTCCCTGGGGAAGGACATCATCTTTGGAAAGATGTAAGGGCAGCAAAAAAGAGGAAGGCCCTCAACACGATGGGTTGATACAGTAACTGCATTAACAAGCTCCGACATAGGAACAATTGTGAGAATGGCAAGGGACCAGTGTCGCTATGGGATGAAGCCGACTTGATGGCACCTAACAATAACTATTTGTTGACTATATGAACTCACACATTGTGTGGTGCACAAGAACTTTAACATACAGCGTGGTTAAGAACAGAGGTTCTCAAAGTAGACTACCTCTTTCCTCTACTAGGAGCCCTGGTGGTGCAATGGGTCATGCTCTGGGCTGCTGACCACAAGGTTAGTAGTTCAAAACCACCAGCTGCTCCATAGGAGAGAAATGAGGCTTCTCTATTCCTGTAAAGATGTATAGTATCAGAAACTCACTGGGGCAGTTCTGTCCTGTCCTATAGGGTCACTATGAGTCAGAATTGACTCCATAGCCGTGAACCTGCCTTGGTTTTGATTTTCTTGTACTAGCTGTGTGCCCTGAGAGAAATCACCTACTCTCTCCATGCTTCGGGGACCTGCAATCATACAAACACTACAGGGCTTTTTGTAATGCATTGCTACGTGAAAGTATATAGAATAATACCTGCTACATGGTAAGCTCTCAATAAAGGTTGGCTATTCTAATATGGATTAATAAGCCCCTTCCCCAAACTAGTGATATAGTGTTATTCTAATCAATGAACTGGAGAATAAGAAATAATCTATTTCGGTGGCTTCCAAACTTTAGGTTTTATCACAATCCCGTGGTGATCAATCTGGTTATGTCTCATCAAAAGTATGCACAATAGAGCAAAACATGGCTTGCTCCTGTAAAATCCTCACAATTACTGTTATGTCTGAGCCTATTGTTGCAGCCGCTGTGTCAATCTATCTCGGTGAGAATCATCCTCTTTTTCGCCGACCCTCTACCCTATCAAGCATTATGTCCTTTCCCAGGGACAAGCCTTTCTTGAAAACACGTCCAAAGTACGGGAGATGAGGTCTTACCATCCTCACTTCTAAGGACCATTCTGGCTGTACTTCTCCCAAGACAGATTTGTTTGTTCTTCAGGCAGACTACGGTGTTTTCAGCAGTCTTTGTCAATACCATGATTCAAATGCTTCAATACTTTTGTGGTATTCTTTATCCATTGTCTAAATTTCACATGCCTATGAAATACCATGACTTGAGTCAGGTGCCCCTAATCGTCAAAGTGACATCTTTGATCTTTAAAGGTTTTGTGTGGCAAATTTTCCCAATGTACTATGCCATTTGATTTCTTTACTGCTGCTTCCATGAACAGTGAGTGTGGATTCAATTAAAACGAAATCCTTGACAACTTCAGTCTTTTCTCTATTTATCCATATGTTGTCTCTCGGTCCATTTGGGAGAACTTTGGTTTTCTTTACATTGAGCTGTAATCCACGCCGAAGGTTTTGAGCTTCATCAACAGGTGCTTCCAGTGCTCCTCACGTTCACCAAGCAAGGTTGTGTCACCTGCATATCACAAGTTCTTAATCAGAACTTCCTCCTGGTGCAGTACTTTTCTTCCGTTTCTCAGATTATTTGTTCAGCATACAGATTGAAAAAATATAGTGAAAGAATAACCTTGATGCACACTTTCCTTGGTTGTAAACTCTGCACTTTCCCCTCGTTCTCTTTGAAAGAATGCCTCTTGGCCCATGTACAGGTTCTGCATGAGCACAATGAAGGTCCTGGATTTCCCATTCTTTGCAATGTTAGCCATAGTTTGTTATGATCCACACTGTCAAATGCCTTTGCATAGTCAATAAAACATATGTAACCATCTTCTGATATTCTCTGCTTTCAGCCAAGATCCATCTGACATCTGCAATGATATCCTTTGTGCTACATTCTCTTCTAACTCTGACTTGCATTTCTGTCAGCTCTCTATAAATATATTGTTGTAACCATTGTTGAATTATCTTCAGTAAAATTGTATTTGTGTGTATTAATAAGGATATTGTTCAATAATTTCCACAGTCAGCTGATGAATTGCTTCATCAGCTTGTTGAAACATTTCAGCTGGTATTTAATCAATGCCTGGAGTCTTGTTTTCGCCAACGACTTCAGTGTAATTTTGACGACTTCTTTCATTACCATTGGCTCTTGATTACACACTACTTCTCGAAATAGTTGAAAGTTGATCAGTTCTTTTTGTACAGTGACTCTGTCATTCCTTCTATCTTCTTTGTAAGCTTCCTACACCATTCAATATTTTGCCCACAGATCTGTCATTATTGCAACTTGACATTGGGAACTTTTCTTCAGTTCTCTCAATCTGAGAAAAGTTGAATGTCTTCCTCCTTTTGGGTTTTCTCTTTCCGGGTCTTTGCACATTGCATTACAATACTACTTTGTCTTCTTGAGATGGCCTTTGAAATGTTTGGGTCAGCACTTTTATTTTATAATTTCTTCCATTCACTTTGCCTATCCTATATTCAAAAGCAAGTGTCAGACTCTCCTCTGACAACCACTTTAGTCTTTTCTGTTTTTTAAAAAATGATTTTTGCTTTCTTCATGTATGCTTTTAAAAACTACTAACAGATAATCTCTCTCTATACGCATCTGCAATGGTGACTTCCACTTCTACTCCAGGCTCACCCCTGATGGGCGTGACCTACTCAACTGGCTCAGAAAGCTGTGCAAACCAGCGAAACACTTGTGCATTCTCAACTGGAAACATCCCAGGTCTTCTCACCTTCACCGCAAGGAGTTTTTCTGGTCACAATTCTCAGAGTCTTGGCTGGCATCCTAACAGGTCACTTCACTTTCAGATTTTTTTCTTTTGTGCCATTAATCAATTTGGCACATACTTTCACCAGGGATTTTACATTGTGGCTGGTACAGTAACTCCACTTTGAGTAATGGCCATCTCTGGTTCCACAAGTGTCTTTCTGGTGTCCTCAAAAACCATGGTAGTGAGTTGGCCTTCTCTGACTTGTGAGTGAACAGTGGTAAATCAGGAGCAGGAGCAGGGGAATGAAGCACCGGAAATGGCCACAACATCTTCCTCAAAGAGTGTGTATGATGCTCTTGATGTCCCCCCAGAGCTCTTTAGGTCTTTGGTCATTAATGCTCAATGCATCAAATCTGTTCTTGAGATGTTCACTAATTAAAGGTGAATATGGTCAAGGTTTTGTTTTGG